CCCAGAGAGCTGAAACCCCCTCAGGGATCCCCCAGAGAGCTGATCCCCCTCAGGGATCCTCCAAGAGAGCTGATCCCCCTCAGGGATCCTCCAAGAGAGCTGATCCCCCTCAGGGATCCCCCAGAGAGCTGATTCCCCCTCAGGGATCCCCTCAAGGGACTCACTAAGCCAAAGGCTCAGGATCACCCGGCCCAGCACTAACGAATCCACCCCGTCCTTCCCCAAATCCAGGGATCCTCTGGCTCTCTGGGCAGCGAGTGCTGAGCTTGCTGGAAAGCCTCCCGGCCCGTTTTCCGTTCCCTGGAGCTTCCCAACTCCCCCAGTTCGCCGGGATTTATCGGCAGGCCCCAAACCAAAGCAGCTCTCCCAGCCCCATCCCATGCCCTGGCAGTCTGTCCCCAAGGCCATGGCTTAGTGCCAGGAGCCTGGAAGGAGCCTCTCCTCCACCGGGAAAACCCTTGGAAACACGGACAGCCCCCTGTTCTCACACCAAGAGAACAAGAGTCACTCTGAAAACAGAGTCAACCCCCCCCTGGGAGCTGCCAGAGTCCCCCCTGAGGGCCCAGCCTGGGGCAGGTACCAGTGCCTCGGCTCTCCATCCCGTTTTCCAGGGCTGGATCCGCCTTCTGCTTCCTCAGGGACACCAGCCCAGCCAGCTGGGCCTTGCTGTTGAGTTTGCCCACGCTCCTCTCCCAGCTCTCCGTCTTCAGCTTCTTGCTCTGGGGCTGAGGGTCCTGCAGGGACACAGGGGGGTTAAGGGGGGAAAAGGAAAAAAGGGAAAAACAGCAGCAGGAACAGCAGGAGACACGAGGGAGAGGCCAAAGGGGGGAATTCTCCCCCCCTGCAGCACCCGGGACAGGCTGGATAAACAGGGCTATGGAGTCAAAACAGGCCTTGGAAATCAATGTCCCACTGTCTGGGATCTGAGCCCAGCCTTGTTGTGCAGCCTTGGGGGGGCCCTGGGACGCTGATGATGCAGATAAAGGAATCCCAGACTGGTTTGGGTTGGAAGGGGCCTCAAAGCTCATCCAGTGCCATCGCCATCCATGGGCAGGGACACCTCCCACTGTCCCAGGTTGCTCCAACCTGGCCTTGGACACTCCCAGGGATGGGGCAGCCACAGCTTCTCTGGGAAATCCATCCCAGCCCCTCCCCACCCTCCCAGCCAGGAATTCCTTCCCGATATCCCACCTACTCCTTCCATCTTTCAATCTACAACCACCCTCCCTGTGTCCCATCACTCTCTGCCCATGCCAAAGTCGCTCCCAGGGGCTGCCCAAGCCCTTCCAGCCAGGCCCTGCTGCCTGCAGGTGGCCCAGCCCCCCGAATCCAACCCTCCCTGGGCATTGGGATTAGTGCTGGGCCAGGGAACACGGCCGGGATTAACCCCGGGCCGGCTTAAAAGCCACAGCAGCTTTGATTCCTGCAGCAGACACAGGTCCCTGCAGGCAGGGAGCAGCAGGGCAGGGCCCTGGCTCCGGGATAATCCCTCCCTCACAACCCGGCCACTCAAAGCTCTTTTGTTCTGCCTCTTTTCCAAAACACCTCCCGGGGAGGGGCTGTCATTGCCCCCCACCGAGGGCTGAAATCCCAGCCTGGAGCTGCACCAGGGCACGGCCTGAGCTGGAAGGGAAGGGAAAAAGGAGGGTTTGGGGGGGGGGGGCAGCTCCCTCTATGCCTTTGTCAGCAGACACGGCCTAAAATCACCCCCTGATCCCTGGCTCCTTCCAGCCCAGTGCACAGGGACACGGCTTTGGGAGCTGCTCATCCGTGACGGCTCCAGGGGCACGGAGAGCAGGGACACAGCAGCTCCAGGATGCTGGATTGGGGCTCCAGGACACTGGATTGGGGCTGGATTTGGGCTCCAGGGGCACTCAGAACCAGGACACAACAGCTCCAGGACTGGATTTGGGCACGAAGACACAGGATTTGGACTGGATTTGGCCTCCAGAGCAAGGACACAACAGGCACACACAGCTCCGGGACAACGGATTTGAACTGGATTTGGCCAGGATTTGGGCTGGATTTGGGTTCCAGGATGGTGGATCTGGGCTGGATTTGGGCTCCAGCACCCCAGAGAAGGCTGTGGGAGCAGCGGGGCTGTGTGCAGGACCCTCTCCCCCCTCACCTCCTGCAGGATGTCGGTGGGTTTGGTGCCCGTGGGTTTCGGGCGCGGTTTCGCTGCCTCCTCGTCCGAGTCGGAATCCACCAGGAGCCGCCGATTCTGTGCCTGCTCCAGCATGGACCTGCGGGACAGGGGCCCCAGGGGGGGCTGGGGATGGAGCTGCTCCACTGCCACGCTGCAAAGAGGGGCTGGAGCCCTCCAGCAGCTCAGATCTCACAGGATCAGGGAATGGTTTGGGTTGGAAGGAGCTGAAAGATCCACTTCCACCCTTGGACACTTCCAGGGATGGGGCATCCTCTGGAAAATCCATCCCAGGGCCTCCCTGCCTTCACAGAGAAAAATTCCTTCTCAATATCCCATCCATCCATGCCCTCTGGCAGTGGGAAGCCATTCCCTGTGTCCTGTCCCTCCATCCCTTGTCCCCAGTCCCTCTCCCGCTCTCCTGGAGCCCCTTCAGGCCCTGGAAGGGGCTCTAAGGTCTCCCTGAAACCTTCTCTTCTCCAGCTGAACCACCCCCACAGCCCTCCCAGCCTGGCTCCGGCCTTTGGAATCATCTCCAGCTCCCTCCTCCCACTTCCCTGCTGGCTGGAGCAGTGACACCCAACCCTCTCCCCCTCCCTGACCACTCTGCCACAACCAAGCTGCTCCCCCCCAAAAAAAACCCTCCACATCCCCTCCCTCAAGCTCCTGGGCCTTGCTGATCCCACCCCAAGCCTTCCCAGCCCACTCACTTCATCTCCTGCTCATCCTCCTCCTGCTCCCTCCTCCTCTGCTCCTCCTCGTACTCCTTGTACTGCTTCAGCATGGCCTCGAAGTCCACGTTGGCCTGGCGCTGGTTGAGCTCCTTCAGCTCCTGCAGGTTCTCCAGAACCTCCATCTCCAGCTTGGAGTCCTTGGTTCTGTTCTCCAGGACCTGGGGGGAGAGGAGATGAGCTGGGATGTGACAGCTGGGAGTGATTTTCCCCCCCCCCAGCACCTCCAGTGAGCATCAACAGGATGCCCCTCATCCTGATTTTTGAGGAGAAGTGAAGGACCAACAGCTCCAGGGTCACCTGGTGTGGCTGGGGAAAGTCAGGCAGGGCAGGGGGATCTTTTCCAGCAGCTCCTGTACCTTCATGGGGTTGTTGAGCTCCTCCTCCTCCCTCTCCTTCTGCAGCCTCTTCTCCTCCTCCTCCAGCAGCTTCTCAGCCTGGAAGTTGCGAGTGGCTCCGTGTTCCATGGTGTAATCCGTGTTCTCGGGGTCTGTCTGAGGAGGAAACCACAGGAATAATCATTGTAGGGAGGGAATTCTGCCCCCGCCCCTTCCAGAGCTGCCCATTTTCCCACATTCCACAAGGGAAACAGCCCATCCATGGGTGGGTGGGATATTCCACGAGGGAAACAGCCCATCCATGAGTGAGTGGGATATTCCAGAGGTTCAAACTGTCACAATAAAGGAGGAGACAGCAAAAAATCCCACATCAGGCTCAGGGTTTGCTGGGACACCCCACCCCCATGGGGGCAGGAATGTCACGGAATCATGGAATGGTCCCACAGGGATCATCAGCCCAACTCCAGGCCATGCCCAGGACTCCCCAAAAATCCCACCCTGTCCCTCAGAGGATCATCCAAACCCTCCTGGAGCTCTGGCAGCCTTGGGGCCGTGCCCACTGCCCTGGGGAGCCTGGGCAGTGCCCACCACCCTCTGGGGGGAGAATTCCCTGATATCCCACCCAACCCTGCCCCTGGCACAGCTCCAGCTGCTCCCTCAGGCGCTGGGAGCCCAGGGGACCCCCGGGAGGTGTCACCTTGAAGGTGATCTCGGCCAGGCAGCGGGTGCACTTGATGTAGAAGCGGAAGATGGGCAGCCCCAGGTACGACTCGTTCTGCACCGTCTCCTTGCGGGCGTTGAACTTCTTGCCCTTGTAGATGTACTCCCCACACGTCTTGCACCTGGGAAAAGCCCATCCCATGGGATCAAACAGGTCAAACTCCATGGGATTTTCGGTGGCAGTTTCAGTGATGGTTGTTTTGGGTGATGGAGGTTTTGGGGCTCCTCGTAAAACAGCCCCAAAATCACAGAATCAAGGAAGGGGTTGGGTTGGGTTGGGTTGGGTTGGGCTGGGTTGGGTTGGGAGGACCTTAAAGGTCATCCAGTGCCACCCCCAAAACCACTACACCTGGGAACATAGTTATTAAACTAAAGGAAGGCAAGGATAGATGGGATATGGCGAAGCAATTCCTCCCTGTGAGGGTGGGGAGGGGCTGGGATGGAATTCCCAAAGCAGCTGTGGCTGCCCCATCCCTGGGAGTGTCCCAGGCCGGTTTGGAGCACCCTGGGCCCGTGGAAGGTGTCCCTGCCCGTGGCACTGGATGGGTTTTAAGATCCTTCCCGACCCCCGGCATTCCAACCCCCCCGTCCCCTCTCACCTCATGTTGAAGGGCGCCATCAGCCTC